GTGTGTGTGTGTGTGTGTTGGTGATATTTCATAATAGTGTTTGGAAAATTTCAATGTTTTATGAAATTTTAATAGAAAATGGATGGATAAACAATAAGTCATGAATTTATTATATTTAATTGTATCAAAATAAATTAGCCTCATTCAAATATTGGATAATATGTATGTTAGATTAGATGTATCATTGACTTGTGAAAGTGAAACAGCAGATGTCCAACATAACATTGTCTGAAAGAAGCTATGAACACTTTAGAAATTTATTTCATACTTTCACAAGATTTATGCGCGTGAAAGAAGTTTGGAGTTGTGCTTGTCATCGATCAACTACCTGATCATACAGAAAAACAATTGTATATCGTCAATCTGGATTCGAGTCATAAATCTGGTAGCCACTGGGATGGGAAAAGAGAATCTTTTGATCCATTAGGACTGCCTCCACATACTGTCAACATAAGAAAATCATCAAGAAGAACTATTCAATGTAAAATTACTACAACAAAAAATACTGTAAGGTCTGTATTCATCTGTGAGGGTCCGGCATGGCCAGGTGGTTAGGGCACTCGGCTCACAATCTGAGGGTCGCGGGTTAGAATCCCTGTCACACCAAACATGCTCGCCCTTTCAGCCATGGGAGCATTATAATGTGATGGTCAATCCCACTATTCGTTGGTAAAAGAGTAGCCCAAGAGTTGGCGGTGGGTGGGGATGACTAGCTGCCTTCCCTCTAGTCTTACACTGCTAAATTAGGGATGGCTAGCTCAGATAGCCCTCGTGTAGCTTTGTACAAAATTCAAAAACAAACAAACAACCATCTGTGAGTTTGTGGACAATATTGTATATATTATACTTATCATCGTTGTCGATATGTGGACAATATTGTAAATGTTATACTTATCATCATTGTCAATATGTGTCCATGAAAGCTCAGTCTGCAAAGATTTGTGAAAAAAGATACGTTTTATTCTATAATAGTGATTAATCACATTTATTATGCGTTGTTTATAAATTTACTTGTTCCTGCTATTAGCAGGGTTACATTGGTTCTACTAAAAGAAAGTTAAGAACAAGCATAAAATAACAAACTAGTGCAAGATCTCTAGTTTAGTCCAACATATTTATATATGCCCTTGGTCAGTTTGACGTTCCTGTCCATTCTAGTTTGTTTAAGAGTTTGGCAAAGGTCAGCGATGAACAAACACTCCGTATCAAGGAGTGATTTATAAACTGAAGCCCGAGATCAATGTTCTGTTTGTACCTTGTTGTTGAAACTTTAGTGATGTAGTGCCTGTTGTTTAATATTTTTTAATACAATACCATTTACTTTTAGTATCACATTGAGATAGGAGGATGCTGTCGTAATAACGTTTCTTTATATTTCTCATTATAGTTGATAATTTATTTGTATATATAGTATACTTATTTTTATCATCAGAACTACAGTTAATTTAGCGTTATAAGTCAATTTATTTTTCTTTCTATTTATATATCTTATGTAATTATATATCCACTTTTTAGTCTTAATACTTCTGTCTTCTGTTTTACATACTACATTTCTTGTAATTTCAAATAAACAACTATTATAATAACTCAAATTGTTTTAAGAAATATTCATAAACTTCATTCACATCCTGGATTCTATACAATATATCCCAATTTACAGCACTTAATTTATTCTCTAATTCTTTTTATATTAACGTCATTAATGTTTCAGTACGCTATTTATTTAGTTTCTGATATATTAAATGAATCGGTTAAATAAATAAAATGGAGAATAATTGTTTGAATTTCTCGCAAAGGTACGCGAGGGCTATCTGCGCTAACCTTCCCTAATCTAGCAGTGAAAGACTAGAGGGAAGGCAGCTAGTCATCACCACCCACCGCCAAATCTTGGGCTACTCTTTTACCAACGAATAGTGGGATTGACCATCACATTATAATGCCCTCATGGCTGAAAGGGCGAGCATGTTAGGTGGGACGGTGATTCGAACCCGCGACCCTCTGATTACGAGTCGATCACCCTAACCACCTGGTCATGCAGGGATGGAAAATAATGATCAGTTTATAAAAGACAAGACAATTAATCTTTTCAAAATTAAATAATGCATACTTCTCTCTCTCTCTCTCTCTTTCACTCTTGCTGGTAAATTTAAATTGGTTATTATTTATTTTAACTGCAATAAACTACATCAAAAAATATTTACATAAAAATTTTACTAGTTTCAGACATTATTATTGAAATCCCTGCTATAATTAATGAGTAATGATTCTTATTTAATATAATTAAAATGTTCTCATATGTTTTCCACAAATATTTGCACATCACATTCAGGTGGCTTATATACACACAACCCAAATAATAATATTTAATTTGTATGACTATAAATTCTAGATTTTTATTCATTATTAAAAATTTTTGACAAACATCAAAATAAATTTCCTATTTATTATAAATTACAATTCCAGCCACCTTTCTTGTCTTGCCTATTGAAAAACAAGGAAAGTAACCTTAAATATTGAACATTGTATCACAGCCCTTTTGCCAAGTTTCTACCAAACAAGTATACAAATATACTGTTATTCACAAACGGCCTCATCCCTACTTTTTCTTAAACTTCTAGCATTACAATATAATATATTGAGAAACCAGAAAAGTCACTTACGTTTTGTTCAATTTGATCAATATCAATAGTTATCAAGACACAGGGTAGTGTGTCGTGCGCCCAAAACAACATGCAGGACACACTGTATTTTATTAACAGGAGTGTTAGTTTAGCAATTTTCCGCTTCCTGTAGCTCGGATTATGGTAATCCAAACTATTATATATTTTCAGAGGATGTGTTCGACTGAACCCTTACTTCACGTGCCATATTTCAAGGCAATCCATTAAGAAATACATGAGATATAAAATGTCCAATTTTGCTTGAATTTTTCCTTATTTTTTTTCATTCGCACCGAAAATACGGAAATTTTTATTTCATAGAAAAACATACTTTCATGGATTTTTTTTTCAAATTTGAGACACTGATAGGTCTTTAAAACCTACAATTACGTGTCAAATTTGGTCTAAATTTAAGCCACATATGCAAAGTTATTCAACAAAAACCGCTCAATTTGGACCAAAATATTTGCGCATGCCTACGCAAAAAAAAAAAAAATCACGTGAGCTATCTGTCTGAACTTTTATTATAACTTCACCTAAGTTGGACCGTGTTTAGGTTTTTGTCATTCTGATTAAAGATGGCTGATGTATAGCAGCAAAACTACAAGATGAAAGCACGTGTAGATACATAAGAATTGGTTAGGCCAAGCAAACTAGACTAGTTTCACTTTTAGCTGGATCTCTAACTTATCTTTATTACTCAACCCCGATTGGCTAGTGGGGACAATAGTGTATTCCCCTAATACTTCTTCAGGTAACAAATCATCATTGACTAGTATTTCAGTAATATGCTTTTTTGGTTCATTTTTTTTCTCATTGATATTTTAACTTCTAGTTCTAAAACTTTGGTAATTTCGAGTAATTCATTTTTCTTATATTTTTCTAGTTGTTCGAGAGAAGGTGATTCAAGAAAATCTTGATTATCAGACATGATCAAAACTTGTTGGCACTGACAGATATATATTGAATTATGATTTGAATTTGAACTTAGATCAAATTTTGTCTCCGATTTAAATCTAGGACACGAGCCCCCAAATTATTATGTTACGTATTACAATTTCAAATAGTTATTACTGACAATGATTTATATACAAAAGTTTTACAGACTTACAAGCAATATAATGTCTTCTTTCTAGTCTGGAACTTCTTTGATATCTTATCGAGGATTGACGATAAGCGAGTTAATTTCAAGTTGACGTAGGTACAATTCACTTAATATGGAACTAGCTAGCTCTGTGGTCTTCACTGATCACACGCTGATTTTTTTTTAACGATAACGTTAGGTAATGTTTTCGTAAAAGTAATAATGTCTGATGTTAATTCACTGAAGTTAAATGGTTTGTAATGTTCGAAATTTCCCTGGTCAAATATATTAAGTTTTCCGATTAATAAGCATTATAGCAATCACAGTTATAGTTCCCAAAGTTTCTAGCAAACCAATAATAGATACTGTTTTTAGGTGCGTCGCGATGGTTATATTTATAGGCATGTGGAGAGTTTCTCAAAACTTCAGCTTACGTAACAATACTAACACGCTACACTAGTGTTTACGTACACACATATATTGTTGATTCTGACATTCGAGAATCTTCTACAACTTTAGAGAATAGACGAGAATTTCGCAATACATGTTTAACAGTATAAGTTATGTACATTTCTAAATATAAATTCAACTTAAACAAATATCGATATTAAAACATATGTATAATAGTAAATCCGTCACAAGGGTTAAACAAGAGGGGATCCTCAATAGCCGCGGCTGTAATCAGATCTCAAATCGGTCAAGAGATGGAGCTACGAGCAAATATTTTGTACTTGAAAAACTCAGAGCCATTCTATGAGTCGATATACCGTGGCTAAAAATAAAATAATATGTTTCTATTTGTTTGCTATTTAGCACAAAGTTACACAATGGGCTATCTGTTCTCTACCCACCGTGGGAACCTAAACTCAATTTTTAGCGTTATAAACCCTCAGACTTAACGCTGAGCCACCGAGAGGTTGAAATAATGATAAAATATAATATATTAAACATTTGAAGTAATATTATTAATGAAACTAACAAGTCGACTTAAACTTTTATTTTGTTTCAATGAGAGTAACTACCTTTCCACATGTAGAAGCAAAAAAACTTTAGGTAATTATTAGTTTTGTTACGAGGCTTTGTGGGTTTGAATAGTAGTATATAAATTTCAAGCACAGATAAGGCTAATAAAATATATTTGAAAAATATTATTTTTAAAACATAGTACACTAGATTGCTGTCTTGCATTAAATCAACATATTTTATTATTTTTCAATCGGTCAGTTCAAGAAATGATGTTGACTTTTATTTTCCAGAATTGAACAACTGCTACAAAGTCAAGCCCAACAATAAGAAACTTTTCCGAAGAAGGATAGGCCTGTGAGCACGTGTTTTCTATCTCTATTATAGTTAATTGTCTTCAGTTTCAGAGTCGATTAACAAATCTACACTTATAACGCTTGGTGAGAATAATGAACAGTGATATGGAGAAAAAAAGCGTACAAAACCTAAAGGTAAATTTTATCGTTCAGATATTAAGCAAATAAGCCAATGGAAAGTAGTAAACTATGGTCGATTACGCAAACACTACATCAGCGCCACCTAGAGAACAAAGAGAAAATACGTCAATTCCAGTTATATGGACGCCAAGCTATCCGATAGTCTGGCGAGGATATCCATCTAAAACACATTTTTTGTCTCCTGAATACAAATCTCAAAAAGTGGAAGAATTTTATAAATCGTATAATTTCATGACCGGAGTACGAATAGCAGCGACACTAGGCGGATTAATTGCACTCTTCACCTTGTTTTTGTTGTACAAAAGCAAATGTAAGACATATAAAGATTATAAACAGCAACTTGAAGATATTCCAACCTGTAGGAGTGTTGGAGTGGCACAGGAAGAAATTTCAACGAGGGGTTCTGTCAGAAGTGACAATAGCAGCACTGCTTCCGATAGCGGCAGTATTTCTTTGCATCTTGCAGAACCGTTTTCTCCGTGTCCAGATCAGACTGGTATCCCCCTAACAATTTACGTAGAAAACTCATCGTCCCTTTTCCTGCCATCGGATGTTTACATTGAAGAAGATATTCACGTGACGAATGACACTCAATTATACCAAACTGATCAAAATACTTGGATGGCCTGCGAACCCCAACCTAGTGCTAGCTCAACACAAGTTAATAAGTTAAATTCCTGTAGTAATTCGAAAGAATCAGCAGAGTTTTCCGTCACAAACTGCGAAGATGGCAACTCAGAGCGTCCATCTTCTTTAGGTGCCAAGAAAAAGCTGTCAAGTCGCACTCTGTCAGTACGACCTTCTGAACAGACAGAGGGCTCTTTTGTCACTGAAAGGTACAGTAGTAGATCTTCCGTCAAAACTAACGAAGTCCTCTGACAGGTGTCAATGTATCGTCAGCTCCAGAACATGCTTTATGTAATTAGGAGTTCCTAATAATAGCTCAGTTGTAGTCAACCTGTCAAATAATCCCTATTAAACTCTGATATTTAGATATATATATATATATTGTAAAACATGTCTCCAACGCTATTCTAAAGATAACTTAAAATGAATTAATGATTTTTTTGTATTCTTTTATTCGGTGTATATCTTGCATTTGTGATTTTTGTTTTCAAGATGATAACAAGAAATTGTTCGATTTCACCATTTTGATATTTAATAAATATGGGAAGTACGCCGATTAAAATGATAGGTATGTTATCCAAAATGAGAGGAATTGATGAAACGAACAGATCGCTTTATTACATACACTAAACTTGTACCGATAGAGTAGCAAACTAAAAACTTCTTAAATATCGTTTGTTTGTTTTTTTAAATATGTTAATTATGGTAAGATTACTAATGGGATTTGAATTTTTTGTCAAGGCCAACATTCTTAAGCTCAAAAGTCATCTTTTACAGTTTATCTGATTATGAAACATCTAATCTCAATAAATAAATATGTGATTAAGAAATACATCGTCATCTGTCCCTTTATGGCCAACCTACAAGGCTCGAACCATGATGTTCCGCTTAACATGCTTTGCACTTTCAGCTGTACGGGCATTAAAACTATAATAGTTCTTCCCAATATTCAGTTTAGAGTAGCCGAAAAGTCGATGGATGGTTCTGAATAATTTCCCTCTGGCAAGCATTTCTAAATTAAGGATGGCTATGACTGAAACATAGATATCTCTCTAGTCTGGCTGAGATGCCTTTCAGATTGAAGATATCAATACGTCTCCTTTTATTTATATATGTCGTCATGTTCCTCATTTGCTCAATATAGTAAATGAATCTAAGTCAAGAAATGTCCAAACCATAATTTATTATATATATGTCCATAACCCACTCTGAACACGCTTTAAGTGTTAGTCTTTTTTTTGTAACACCAGTTGTTGACGATTTGGTTTAAAAAAATTCAATATCACATACTATATTGAAAACTGAAATCACAAAAAAAATTCGATTTAAAAAATAATGACTTAAACTAAATATCCTAATAACATGTAAATATCATTATTGCATTTGTTTTAACCTCATAGGTCTAAATTAATATTTTCAACCTTAAAACTCCAAAAAGAAGGTAATGATACAATGCTTACAACTTTTACAACAAACAAGAAACTTAATTTAGTATAAATAGTCAGCTAAAACAATGCACTATTAATAAATGTAATATGTTTATGAACTTTTAAATATGATGTTTTAAACAACATATTGAAATAACGATAAGTTTTATTATTACAAAAGATAAATTACACAGGCCTCCGAATTTAAACTTCATACAAGTTGTTTGGTTTTAATAACGGATTTTCCATAACTCAGCTACCCAGGTTTCGAAAATAATATTCTTTTTTTTTTCTATCACGTAAGGGTTTTTTACAGATCAGGAAGAAGAGAAAACTCTTACTTAGATGAAATTATTATTTCGTTTACCACAATGAACATTTTTTTATTA